CAAGTCGGCTCACCCGAATTGGAGCCCAGCCGCCATAAGATCGGCTATGATGACCACAGCGAGCGTGACCGATAATCGAAACCAGACCATGACTGATGAGGCCACTGGAAAGGCCTCCACGTCTTATGATTTGGGTGCGGGTCATTTGAATCTGGGTCGGGCCATGGATCCCGGGCTTGTTTATGATATCACCAATGACGATTATGTTCGGTTTCTATGTTCGGTTGGGTACGGGCCACGAGTGATTCAGGTGATCACTCGGACCCCGCTCAATTGCCCGGCCAAGAAGCCCTCGCCGGAGAATCTCAATTACCCCTCAATCGCAGCGTTGTTTTCGACCGCGGGTAAGTCGAGCAAGACGTTTATCCGGACCGTGACAAATGTGGGGCAGCCCAACGCGGTGTACCGGCCTAGGATCGAGGCCCCGAGAGGGTTAACCGTGGCGGTTAAGCCGTCGAGGCTGGTGTTTAACGAGGCCGTGAAGAAGCGGAGCTTTATAGTGACGGTTGTAGTAGATAGGAAGAATTTGGTGTTTGGTGAGGCCGGCGCTGTGTTCGGGTCGCTCTATTGGAGCGATGGGAAGCATGTGGTTCGGAGCCCCATTGTGGTGACCCAAATGGATCCCTTGTAAAATCGGAGGAAAAAAAAAACGGGGAACGGAGGATCAAAACACGTCGTTTTGGTCTTTTGTAAGGGTAGATGTACAAGTTGTGTGTTTACCTAATAGGCCCAAGAGCTGGTTTTGGAGGGTTGGTGTAGTGTGAAATTTTCCTTGTATTTTTTTTTTGTTTCTTTAAATTATAAAATCTCCAAGTTCGTTTATATCTGTAGACTGTTAGCCGCCTATATATATTACTGGATAATATAAACTTGATTTCAATGGCCCAACAATTTTTCTTTGAAATTAAAATCAGTCAATGCAATCGGAATTTTGTATAATATAAAAATATTATGCATAAAATAATTTATTTTTCTGAGGGAATCAAATGACTATAATATATTTATATATAGAATGGTATTGGTAAGATATTCAGATTGAATTTGTTGGTTAATATTCCTACTCCCACTTGGTATAAATGAATTTTATAAACAATCTCGTGTTTTATAATGGCATGGGAGGGGAAGCTCTCAAGAATGTTACGAGCACTAAATCAAATCTCTGTTCCTTTCAAATTAAAAAATTAAACCATCAACGGTCTCTTTCCTTCATTAATTTATAAATTAATTCAAAGAACCATCAACGGTCGCTTTTTCCTTTTTAATTTATAATTTCAGTTTTACTGTCACCTGTATATTTTGTCGTATATGAGACAAGTCGGTGACAGGAAGGACCTTAATAATGTTATGCTATACATTAATAATCTAGCATATAAATATCGGGGTGGGTCCCATGATGGAACCTCAATAATGAACAAAAGCTCTGTACCCCATAATTCACCCGTCTAGACTCTAGTAAAGAGACGAGCAATAACGCAGAGAGAAACAAATACAAAAAGGTATGGAATTTTCGTTTCGTTTGGGTTAAACTTTAGGGTTTTTTTCTTCTCCTATTTTTTTGCCCGAGGGTTAAACTTTAAAGTCTAGTGTCACGGATTGAGTATTTTTGTTAGTCAATCCAATCAATTTGTCTGCTAGATGTGATGTTTTTTCAATTGAACGTAGTCCTTTTAGAAATGACTACACGTGGCAAAGAATTTGTACTTTTGCTATCAAGAAAAGGTTCTGAGTTTAAATTTTAGCATTCGTATAGTGTGTATGAGTTTAGTACGTTATCGCTCCTTTTAATAGAAAAAATCACGACTAACTTAAAACGATTACGTTTAACACCGCTACTACACCTGCTAAAGGCAAATCAGATGGTTGAGCATGCTTTAAGTGAACAACACGATTTATGTAATCTTTTACGAAATTGTCTTCAAAGTTTTTTGGTTGTTTGCACTTTTGAAGCATTATTTTAAGAATTAACTAGTACCAAAATAGTGCACACAGGAGTGGAATCCACCTTTTTCTTATCTCAAGTGCAAAAGAAGCGAGAGCACATAATATGCATAATTTAAGATATGTGGACTGAAGAAATTTGTTGTTCAGATGAGATCGAAATTAAAGTATGCACGCCAATGGGTTCCCACCACAGTGGTGGTGGATTCCCCCTTCCCCCCATGGCACCCAGGATCGAACCCCAGTGGGGTTTCTTTCCTCCAATGTAACCAAAAAAAAAATTAAAGTATGCACCAACTGCTTGCAATTTACTCTTTCCTTTTTCTTTTTCTTTTTCTTATTCTTATTTGGGCACAAAATTTAATACGACTTTGATTTGATTCGCGCTTTCCCCCTGCATAATTTGTCTACTTTGATGCCATCCAAAGTCATCTTCGAAGTGAGTTCCAAGCAATTTTAGGTCACTCGTTCTGACCACAAAAGCCAGTTTTCAGTGATTAAAAAAGTTAGAATTCTATTGTCGTCAGTTTGTGCAGAAGATGGTAGAAATGGTGGGCCAGGGTGCAACACATTGGATTGTATTGTCCAGTAGGTGAACCAGCCCAATCTTCCCATGGCCCATTAAGAAATTCAGTTCAAGTTCCCACCTTGATGAGCCAAGTCAAGCTTCAAGCTACAAACGTATATGTAAAGTTTCAAATTTGAGATCATTGGTTTATAAGTTAATTTTATTTTTAGCTGCATTTGACCCGTTAGTAAAGTTTGTACATATTTGGTTTTACCCTATTTTGTTCCAGTAACTAAAATACTATCATATCATATACCCATCTACTGTATACACTCAATACACATACTCCTAAAGTGTATATACTCGAATGACAGCACGTATTAGAGTTTTAACGTGGAAAAAAGCTAAAGAGAGACATATTTCATCTACACTAATGACTTGTCTACTGGTGACTCCACACACATATCAAGATATGTAATTTAAGAGCTCATTAAATTCCACCTTTTGCAATTGTGTAAATCATCGAGTTCAACATCTTAGACCATATGGATCATGAATTCAGTCTCATTACTTTTCTCAATATTATATTTACAACATAAGCTTATTAATAAAATAATTAACCCCACAAAAAGCAAAAAAAGAGAAAAAGAAAAAGAAAACAAATTACTTAACTTGACCAAAAAGTAGAAATTTCATTATATATTAGTACCCTTTAAATCCAGTTGAGTAGACAGGCAAGTTGGAAACGAGACCATAGCAAAAGCAAAAAAACTAGGTAGAAGAACAGCTCCACCAAAACACAGACGGCATTTTTCTGGGCAAGAAATTATGCAGCATTGACCACATAAATTCGTTCAAGCACCGGTCACAACAAACGGGGCAGCAAGGAAAACTATGCCAACAGATTCTTCCCTCGCAGAGGTTAAATCTCACAAGTGTGGCATTGGAATTATGGAGCACCAACAATGCTGCTACCTCTATGAGAAGAGCAACGAATATAAGAATGAAGGAGAAGAGAGCAGAAATCAGAACGAGAGCAACGTTCGAGAAGCTCAATTCTATGAACTTGAGGGCCAAGAAGTTTAAACCCCAAATGTAGGTCCAGTTGGATGCAAGAGCATCTGAGGTCCTCATTTATTTTTTTCCAAATGTAAAATAGGGTTAGAATTTAAATAGATAAAATGGGACTAGCTAGCACCTTATATATATAGAGGAAGCATTTTTAGGGTTTATCAGATCAAGTTGAAGGAGAGTGAGAGTGGTTGAGCTGGAAATTGATTGAAAAATAATCTAGTTGTGGAGCTTGATGTTGATGGTTGTGCTGCAACGGGTGGAGAGACTTTAAGTGGTTTTGGATTATTTTGAACATTTGATGCACATAAAACCAAGGTACAATAGTACCCTATTTTTGTCTTGAAGATTAAAATATGTATTGGATTTGGACCCATGACCCAACTGATGGACCCGACCCGATTGAAGGCATAGCATAAGGGTATAATTCTATAGTGAGGAACTTATCTGAGGCATTATATAGGGGATTGACTAGGGACGAATGTAGCTAATGGGCTGTATGGGCTATAGGCCATGCCAAAAAGAATTTGATTTTTAAATGTGATGTAGTCTTAGCCCAAAAAAAATTATATATAGCTAAATAGAAGGGATAGCCCATTTCGTACTTGCATTCACAGAAACATAGTCAAAACTTACTTGAAACAGGGTTAATACACACCTACCACTTGATTGATAGATTGATTCGTTTAGTGTTAACTTTTCCGGTTTCTACAGTAACAATAGAATGTGCATTTTCTTCTATGAGACTTATAAAAAATCGACTTTGGAACAAGATACTTTACATTACATTGTATGATACTTTACATTGAAAAAGAATTTGCTGATGGTATTGATAACGAATCAATAATTACTGATTTCAACTCTTTGAAGCCTAGAAGGGTACAACTCAAATAGTTGTATTATGTATTTATATTGCATGTTTATTTATTTTTAATTTTTTTATTAGTTTATATCTTATGTACTAGATGTATTTTGAGGGTACGGCCCAATATTTCCTTCAAGTCATATATAGAGCAGTGCAACACCCAACTACCTCATGTTCATCCCGTTGTCTACAAGTGAAAAGATATTTAGGAGAAAGCAGTTTTTCTTTTATTTTGTAATCAATAGAAAAGGGATTCAGAATATGAGATCCCGGAAACATTCGGAACAGAAATACAAGTAGACCAAAAGTTAATAAGTTATTATACTTAAGGGACAAACAAAGAAATATTCATATTGAAGATGCTAGACGGATGAACATGTTTACTATTTCCTGTCATTCTCCCCGACATCATTTAATTGATGCTTCTTCTTTTATAAAGATATCTAAAATATCGATAGATACGATATTTCGATATTTTATCTCGAGTCAACCTTTGGTGCAAAGATGTCGGACACATCGCAGAGGGAGTCTCGTCTAATTCAATCCAAACTAGACTTCTTTCTTAGTAGGCGAGACCCAATTAAACACGTGGCGAGAGCTCAAGCACCCCGAACTAACAAGCAGTTACTTCAGAGCATCGACCTCCACGGTTATTACGCGGCAAATCTTAGTGTCGCCGCGTGTCTCGAGCCTCTGCGTCGTCGTCGTCACTGACACGCTTCCTCCATTTTCTTAACCCCCAAGATTAATCCAACCCTAAAAAACCCCCGAAATCTCTCGCTCTGTCTTTCGCCCAAACCAAACATTGACAAAACTCAGAGACCAACCAATCCAAAACCATGTCTGCTTCAAAACCCATTTATCCTTCTTCTTCTTCGTCACCTTCGTCTCCGTACCTTTCAGCCGACATGAAAGACCTCGCCGAGAACCTCTTCCCGGAAGACGACGCCGTTTCTAACCGAAATACCCAATCATCCGAAGAACTCATTGTCAAAATCCCAGGGGCCATCGTCCACCTCATAGAGAAAGACTCAAGCATCGAGCTTGCCACTGGAGAACTCACCATAGTTAGTCTCCGCCAAAATGGGAACATAGTCGCTGTACTTGCCCGCGTAGGCGACCAGATTCAATGGCCTCTGGCCAGAGACGAAGCCGCCGTGAAGCTCGACCAGGCCCACTACTTCTTCACTCTTCGGGTCCCCGCAAATGGGTCGCCGAAAAGAGACGAAATTGATGACCCGACCCATCACGAAGGTCAGTTTGTTCTGCTGAATTATGGGTTAACTTTTGCTTCTTCGAAGGGGCAAGAGGGTTTGCTGAAGGAGCTCGATCAGATTTTGGGGATTTACAGTTGTTTTTCGGAGGAGAGGGTGGAGGGGTTGGGGAATTGGGAGGTTCTGGATGGGTCAGTGGGGAGCGACACGTGTCAGGAGGAGAGGGCGGCGGCCTACTGGACTACGCTGGCTCCGAATGTAGAGGATTACAGCGGGAAGTGCGCGAGGTTTATTGCGGCGGGTTCGGGTCAGGTGATTAGGGGGATTCTGTGGTGTGGGGATGTGACTGTGGATAGGTTGAAGTGGGGGAATGAGTTCTTGAAGATGAGAATGGGGCCCATTTCAGAATCAGAGATTAGTCCAGAGGCTTTGAAGAGGATGCAAAGGTGTGTTATTTGATTATTCAGAATTGTTTTTTAGTTGAGTAAATCATTTGTTTATGGTTTTAAACTTTTGTTAGTTTTGTTTGTGCTAGCAACTCTGCCTATTTGGTCCTTTGCACATTTGAATATGGTTTTTCCTTTTGGCTGCCATGACCAATCTCCACTTGGCAACAAAAAAATAAAAAATTCCTCTAAAATATTTTTGTGTTTGAATTAAAGAGTCCACCTTGCATCACGTTTTACTGCCCATATTCCAATAATGAAGCAGTATAATTGTAAATGTTAGGGGAATAGTTTTTCAATTTTCATCCTTAATCTACAAAAGCATCACTTTTGCTGCCATAAATTTTCACTATGTTAGCAATTTTAGCATGTTTAAGGTACATGAGTTTTAGTTTCTTAGTTTAGGATTGTCATATTTGTATACTACTAGACCAATGTCTTTTCCTTTGGGTTTCTACTTATTATGCAGTGAAGAGAGTGTATAACCTATTATGGTGTAAATTTTCAGGGTTAAGAAGTTGACAAAGATGTCAGAGGACGTGGCCTCTGGAATCCTTTCTGGGGTTGTTAAAGTATCTGGATTCTTCACAAGTTCTATAGTTAACTCTAAAGTTGGCCAGAAATTTTTTAGCCTTCTGCCCGGAGAAATCGTCCTTGCTTCCTTGGATGGATTCAGTGAGTCTTTTCTTTTATCTCAAAACACTTGAATTATACATATACTTATATCATGTTACTTTAGATACTGTAGATTTTCTACCTTAGGCTTCTACTAGCTTTAGTTCTCATGCTATACACATTTAGAGAAAGGAAAAGAAGAATTATGAATTCTTATTCAGGAACAAATTTTCTGGTAGGGATTCACTTCCCACAGTTGTTGTCTTGTATTGGTGAGAAATTGGAAGTGTTTTCAGCTTTCCTTTAGATGATCATATTTGAGATGTGGAGGAGCTGAACACAGAAGTAGGCTCTTAAAAGAACTAGAAACATGAGATAACATAGGACAATAGCATCTCTGTTTTTTCTTTTCCTTTTTTTGTTTTTTTTTCTTCAATTGTATAAACTAGGAACTAGTGGCATTTTTCCTGTCCTCAATGTTTGTTGTTTGTGTGCAAACACAGACAAGGTCTGTGATGCTGTTGAAGTGGCGGGAAGGAATGTTATGTCAACCACATCAGTTGTCACCTTGGGGTAGGAGTTTCAAACACAGAAGTAGGCTCTTAAAAGACTAGAAACATGAGATAACATAGGACATTAGCATCTCTGTTTTTTCTTTTCCTTTTTTGTTTTTGTTTTTTTTTCTGCAATTGTATAAACTAGGAACTAGTGGCATTTTTCCTGTCCTCAATGTTTGTTGTTTGTGTGCAAACACAGACAAGGTCTGTGATGCTGTTGAAGTGGCGGGAAGGAATGTTATGTCAACCACATCAGTTGTCACCACTGGACTTGTTTCACAGAGGTAAGTCTAAATTTAATCATGAAAATTATTAATGCTTCAATTCAATCCTTATCCCTTTGATGATTTGTACAATAATCACTTTACATCATGAACGCCACTTTTCCAATAGTTGGCATTAAATTTTGTGATGGTGGTTGTCTGTTCTGTGGATTGTTCATATTTCTATTGAGTGGATGGCTGTTTTTTAATACAGCTCTTATCCCACTAATATTGACAGCATCATTCTTGAGAACCATATCTTAATTGCACAACTATTGCAGCTGCATGCCTGTAGCTTGATTTTTAGAGCAAGTTCCATGGTTGGCTGAGACTTGGACTTAGTTCATGGCCCTAATGTTTGAAACACAATATTTTTTTTCTTGATATATGATTGTTCACCGGGGAGAGCACATTACTGAAGGTGATTTCTTCATTGCAGGTATGGAGAATCAGCGGCAAAGGTAACGAATGAAGGGCTTGATGCTGCCGGGCATGCTATAGGGACGGCTTGGGCTGTGTTCAAGGTGAGAAAGGCTTTAAACCCAAAGAGTGTGCTCAAGCCTACAACCCTTGTTAAAGCTGCTGCTGAATCAAAGTCCTCCAAGCTGAAGTCTCAAACTAAGTGATGGATACTTGGGGTGGTGGGTTGCTCCTTTAGCTGGCCTCTTTTGGTTGCTGTTTGCGATTGCACTTATCCGTTATTTTGAAAATTAATGGATTGTTCAAATTTTATTCTGTCCATTTTGCCATGATCTGAAAACGATGGGGTGTCTGCACCAAAAATGTAAATGTACTAATAGGCATGTGACCGATTGTGACAAGAGGCCATATCTTAATCTACAGTTAGATTTTTAACCTTATGGGTTCATCGTCATGACCATGATCTTCATATATATATATATATATGAAAACCACTTTGTTACAAAAGTAGGCACTGTGTTTTGTTTTCTTATTATCATGTTGCTGTGGAATCTTTTTAATGTTGCTATCAAATAAGATGCCAAAGTTGAGCTTCAGTCAATTACAAGTTGTCTGCTTCTGCAGCCAAGTTGGCATGCATTTCACGAGCAGAGCATAAGATTTTACAACAATAAATAGTAAAAGAAGACATCTTATTACTTATTGGAACTCCTTGCAATGTTTTTCTTTTTCTTGTTTTTAAACCCTCTCTCACTCATACACAGCAGTCACTAGATATACACATGCTTTCATCAAATTCCTAATCTGTAAAGCCTTCCATTTCATGAGCATCTTCTTCAGGCTTCAATAGCTAGTTTTAAAGGGTTTATAAGTCTTGAGATCCAGAACCACACCAGCCACAGAACCGACTGCAGCAGCTATGGTGACAAGGAGACAACTGATGCTAAGGATCTTAAGCCCAACCCATCTGCTGCTCCATTTCCCAATCTTCTGTTGAGCAATGTACATCTCAACTGGGAAGTAAACTGTCAATGGCCAGAACCCAAAGGCTCCAAGAATTCCAACCACATCATTGAAGAAAGGCAGCAGCATGGATATGAGTGTTGTTATCATGACAAATATGGTCCTCCATACTAAGCGAAACAGGTTGAGTTGGTAGACGCCATAGAAGGGGATTGGTATGTCATATTCTACTGTTACAAAGTCACTCTTTGGCCACCTCTGTGCGCTCCATTTCTCCACAAATGCAAATAATGGCTGGCAGAAGACCTGCAGGGTTCACTGGTTTAGAACTTTGAAATAGACAAATATTCCTTCTTCTTTTTTGTAATTTTTTTTTATTAAAAAAAAAAGGGGAATATTCCTTTATCTTGTAAAGGGCCTCAACTTGATGGGGGTACTTAGAAAAGTAACATTTCTCTGTATATTTTGCTAAGTAATTCGTGTTAGAAAACAATTAGTCTCAAAAGTGCAAGTTGTCAGGAAATGGGCCAACAATGTACATCAAGCCTATAACTTATTTGAAAGTGAAAGGATTGAAACAACCTTACTTAAATTTGAGAAACTGGAAAGAATCAAAGACAATAGAAATTGTGGTGACAATTGTAGAGTCGAGATAGTTAAGATCTTAGAAATTAGATGGATAAGAGTATTTCGGTCTTTTCAGTATAATATGAGTTTTTTTTAATCCTACTTAACGAATACTGAGAAATTATAAAATATTTAATTTGGAGTGCAAGACAGTTTTGCTATTAGTTGTATTGCTCTAAACTCAACAAGCGGCTCGGAGGCATACCTGAAATGCACCAACAAGGTGGACAACAATAGCAACATTGGCAATATCTAGTAGCCAGTAAGGGTTGTAGAATCCAAAACCAGTCAGGAGGTTGCCTGGGGCCAGGTCACCAAAGGCTGCATACCCAAAGCAACCACAGAGTAGATAGAACACTGTGGTCAGAGCTATGCTGAATACAGTTGCCTTCTTCATGGTCTTATGTTCTGCAGGAGGAGATCTTATTGTATCCTGCAGAGCACATAACAATCAGATGCTACAACCAATTTTTTGTTGTTGATAATATAGTTGTTTCATTTGCTAAATATATTGTAGAAGTACCTGAATTTCAATGAGAACCAAAGAATAAGAGTAAGCAAAGGCAATAGCTCCAAGAGCTTGCATGCTCCTCCACATCTTTTGTGTAGGAGTAACTGTTCCTGCATGAGTTACTGTCCCTATGCTGATACCCAATAGGCTTCCTTTAAATCCCCCATTTCCTGACAAAAGATAACAAAAATTGCAGCTGTTCATATATATACAATAAAGAAAGGGTAAATTTCACTTTACTACCCTCAAATTTACCGACTTTCAGACTTTACAAAAAAAATTCTCTCACTTTCATACCTGAAGTTTGCATATAACAGATTACAAGTATGTAATAAGACTATTAGTTGTACCTGCAACTTTGCCAATGCCAAGTCCAAGGCCAACAGAGGAGTATGTGAAGGCCATAATGGCAGCTACTATTGAGAGCCACCATACTTGATTAAAATCTGGGATCTGAGAAAATATCACCTCTATGATTCCAAATGTTATCATGTACCCATTGCTTGACATGTGGCATGGATCTTTCCCTCCACTTTTATGGTAACAGTTTGATCTCTTTATTGCCCTAATACACAAATCATATTGTTAATGGATTTCAAATTCATCTGCTGGTATTTTGTAAGTACAAGTACTTTCATGAATTCAGTTTACTCAGAAACTTACATCATGCTGACAGATGAGGCAATGGTGTAGCCAATTGCTACACCAAATAGATTCAAGTACTGGACCAACCCACACAACATGACCTTTCTTCCTCCTGCAACTCCAAATTGGCATCATCACAACCAAAACCAATCATTTCCATAGTTGAAAGGTAGCTAAAGAGTAAAGACAATCCCTTACCTAAGTTGGCCTTGACAGCATCCATGTAGGTATAATTTCTCTGTCCTGTGACAGGGTCACCAGACCGGTAGCACATTGCTAGGAGATTGGAAGTGTAGAGATTGACAAGGGCAAAAAGCAGCAGGACAGATGGTCCTGCAACCCAACCAAGCTGAGCTATTGCCCATGCTAAGGAAAGGACACCAGATCCTATAACTGCTGTGATAATATGTGATGCTGAAGTCCAAAAAGTTCCTGCACCAGCAACACCTTGTGATTCTTGAACTACGATTAAGGTACTAATTACTTGATAATTGATATCAACTTATCATAAACTAATAAGTTGGTCCTGCGCAGAAAAAAAAAACTCTGCTTTTTGGTAAGGATCTTATGCATATATTTTATAGAACTGAATCTATTGAGACCATGCATGCAAATTATCACTTTATTGACCCAAATCAGGAAATAGAATATATATAATAATGAGAGTTTTGCCTGAAGTTCAACATGGGTTTTTAAGTTCAGAGTTAAGTTTATTAATTGAGTTCCATGTAGCTGAAAATGAAGCATGGTTTTGAAGAAAACACATTACAACATGATTGTTTCCCTTGAAAAGGAAAGTGGTAAAGCAAATTATTCAAAGCTGTGTTCTTGAAGGTAAAACCTCAATGCTAAATTGGGTAAGTGTGGCTACCTGTTCTCTTCAGGCGACCATCATCATCAAAGCATTTGGAATAGTTGGACTGAGGGTTTATGGCTTCAGACTCAGTGACTTTGGGTTGGACTTCCACTTGCAAGTAGTGCCTGATGTCATGCCTCTCTTCCACCTGAAATTGAAATGCAAATAATTAAATACACCAAGAGAAAGAAATATTATTCTAACTTCTAAAGAATAAATAAAGAAATAAAGAACTGAGAGAGAGGCTCTCACAGCTCCATGGTGGATTCTGCTTGGAAGAGTCCTACTTCTTTGCAACATTGCTTCAAGGTAACAGAAATAGTATTCAGAATATCAGAGAGAGAGAGAGAGAGAGAGAGAGAGAGAGAGGAGAAGTAGAGATGATTGATGTTTCAAAATATGAAGTGGGTTTTTATAGATGAAGAAAATGAGTTGATTAGAAAGAAGTACGGTACACAAGGGATCGTGTAACACACACCTTATAGTGCTTGTTCCAAAATTTCTTGTCAACTTTGAATCAAATCAAGTTCAAAATCTAAGTATGGTGTTTAGGAAATACTAGGATTAACAATAAAAGTAGCTTAAGGAATAGTTAAAAGCAACTTCATCAATAATTAGTACCAGAACTTACGCAAAATTCAGCTCTTTTGTGGATGATTTTGTTTAAGACCATAGAAACGTATGTCTGCTAACTTCCTGGAAACATGGCATCATAGCAAGATGCATTTGGGTAGCTCCAAATCCCACATATTTTAATTTCCAGCCCCATATGTACCCATTTTTCATATTTACCACAGTCCTCATGATGAAGCTGCATCTTTGTACTTTATAAAAAAAATGGTGTATAAAATCCCCATGTGAAAATGACATGCAAATTTAAAAAGAAAAGTTTGAAAGGAATAGTTGGGTTGTATATAGAAGATTAATGTTGAACTTCGATAATCAATAGTCTTCATTAACTGTTATTTTCCCACACTTTCGACACTTGCTCATGATGATGACCGTCCCAAATGAAATGGACATATACTTTTGCTTATTTTTGTTAATGATGGTTATTTACTTCTACAAGCTATTTTGAGAGACGAGAAGTAAAACACAAAATCTCGACCGTATGACAAATTACTTTTAACTACTTAAACTACAAATGTAGTCATTTCGTACTTGTGTGGTTGTTAATATTTAATTTCTACTGTATTGCATATGAAAATGGTAGTACGTCAATTTTCCACTTTGGGACATGAAAGCTAAACCATATCTAAACCTCTTTTTGCGACTGTTCTTACCCCTTTTAGGTTTTTAGGTTTTTGCTTTTTGGGTAAATGGAAAGTGGGCACAGGAGCTCAGCTGGGTGATAGTGAGAAAAATATCTTCCTCTTCATGTGGATAAGTGGAGTCTCTTGGAGTCAACGACTAACATCTCAAAGGAAAGATCTCATTTCTATAATTTATTCATGGTGCATTTTTGTCCCACTGCACTTTCTATATTATTATGCTTTGTGACTCACCCCTCCACAATCAACAGCTTCAAAAACCCTACGTAATACCACATTACTAGAAGAGGAATGCTATTCACAATCAACAGCTTCAGAATCCATGAGAGGGTGTGTTTCACACAGTTATTGTTCATTTTGATTATTGTTGAGTGGTTCCCATTGATGTGAAAACTAGTGGTGTTTCGAGGCACAAATACTATAGCATACATTCTCGATCAAGAATAACTCAAGAAAATCTTATTTGATGATTAACTCATTAGAAACGAAACGAGTAACATTTTCTTTATTATATTAGTTAATCACATAATGTAACAGTTGTCGGTTAATAATTGATGTAACACATAATGTAAGAAACAAA